CTATAATACTGATATATTCAAACAAAACTCGTAAACTTGATGTTTCTATTGTTCTGCAAAAGATATATTATTAGCCTATTGGATATCAGAGAAATGCTAAAAAAATTGTTTGAAGCTTCTTTAAAAGAAGAGTTTGATTTTACTTTAGATGAAGTGAAAGATTGGCTTGAAAGACAGGCATCAGATACATAAATCTCATTCTAGATATATTCCTTGAGCAAGTTTTAGCTTTATTACTACTCCCAATGAAGTACACCAGGCAGATGTTCTTTATACATGACATCTTAATATAATTGATATAGCTTCAAGATATAAAGCAACTATTCTTATAGGTATAGCCCTTAGAGGACCCGTTGTGAGAATTAAGAATATGCAAAGTATCTTAACTTCATCTACTATTGCAAGATGTTAGAAAAAATCTATGATCCTAATTGCCCTTTTATTTGGCCTAAAATATTTTTATCTGATAAGGAGTCAGAATTTAAGGGTGAATGTGAGAAAATACTAAGAAAATATGGCATAAAAATTCAGAAAGCTAAGTTTAAAAATACTATAGATATTGTTGAGAAATATAACAGAACATTTACTGAAATATTTTATCATATTCTTGATGGAACAGATTTATTAATTACTTTTTCTTGTTCTCTTGATTAAATTCAATATAAAATTTATCAAATATTGTTGTTACAATAGTAGAAGATATTAATAATTCTATTACACGCCATCTTGGTATTTCTCCTGCTAAAGCAATAAAAGAAAAGGCATTATCTCTAAGCCTTCTTATTCTTAAGATAGTTTTGTAGGCTTTGATGAAGAGAAGCTTTCTGATGATATACTTGTAAGATATTTACTATATCCTAGTAGAAGGAGGAAGACGAAAAGTAGGGGATTTAAATTAGTCCTCATATATTTATTATATCTGTCAATTTATGGTGCAAAAAAATCAGCTGGTCTTATACTGGCTGAAAGAAGTTTATTTTAGGTTAATTAATAATGATGATTATATACTCAATCATTCTAAAAGTTCTTTTTTGCTAGAAGAATTAATGATTATTCCTTATTATATAGAATTACCTTCCCAATAGGTGCTTATGAGTTAAAATAGTCTTCTGCTTCTTCATTAAATTATTCTTCCTTAACAAAATTATCCTTAGCTAATTCATAGTATAACTTGTATAGATCCATGATTGCATTAAGAATTCTGGAATCTTACCTATAATATTCCTTATAGTCATTTTTTATTTGATTATACTTGTCTTTATTAGGAAAGATATTTTGGGATAATTTTAATACATGTTCTTCAGGATCTTCTGCTTGGCGTAATTTCCTAATCCGATCTTTGTAACTTAACATGAATTTTCTATCTTTTGGTTTTCTATAGTAGAGCCCTGCCTTGATGACATTTATTAATGCCTTTTCGATATCTTGAGATGTTGGCTTAATATTAGTTAATTGAATTTATGTACTTATTGTGAAAGTGTTTGATTTACTATATTGCATAAAGATTTGTTTAATTAAAATTATTTCCCTATATATCAAAAATGATTGAAGAATATTCCTGTTTATATTTGCACAATACTGACAAGATTTATGGTAGGCTCTGCATACGTGAAGAAGGATGTCATAAGCATTGGAAAGCTAAGATACGTGTATCATGTAATATATGTGGCAAGCCTATTAGTTTGACTTCTGGGCGGTGTTCACTGCATGTTAAAAGTTATTATATAATCTAATACTATAATAGATTACGTAAAAAGGCCTTAAAAACTTAGAATAGATAATAACTTTGGGTTAGATTTTTGGATAGACTTAGCTAGGCAAATTTTTTTACACCTAAGGTATATTTTTTGGTTAGACTTTTTGACCTTCGCTATCTGATAATGAATCAGTTTTAGAATTAATTCTATGATAATATGAAACTTAGGTATGCTTATTGAGCTTGCAGAAACTCGTATAGAGCACACTAAGACACTTTGATTCTCAGTATTCTATACTCATTTCTAGAGCAAGCAGAATAGCATATATTTTTTTATTATATAATTTGGAATTAAAAATAGACCAATGCGTTAACAAAGATGATATACTTCTTTATCTTAAAAACTAAAAATTTTGGTAAGGAGATATATTAACAGTATTTAAATCAGTTTGATTTTAAGCTTGAATTCAATATAGGATTTTGATATGTTTTCTGGTCTTGTAGAGTAATTTAGAGTTTAATATAGATTCCATAAAATTCGTTTACTGGCTTCACGTCTAGACAAGGCCTTACTATATATACAGCTATTATGGAATCTTGTCCCAGAACTCTTAATTTAACCTATATATTATTTCGCAATCTAGTGATCCAAATTTAATTAATATTTTTTTGTTTTGTAACTCATAATATTCTTATTCAAAATAAAAATGATTGTTTAAATCGAACTGCTAGATCACGAGATAATCAGATAAAATGATTTTATATATTTGTTATATGTATTTTCCAATATGGGTCAAATCAATTTGTGCAGAACCTACTTAGTAGTATAAAATCAAACATCCAAAATTTGCAAAGTATCCAGATACTATGATCTGCAATATATGATAATAAATTAAATTCTTTAATTATAAAAATAAAATAATATTATAAATATAATATAACTAATTAATATTATAAAATAAAAAAAAAATACTAAAATTACAGAAAATATTTTAGTAAATACATGAAATGTAAACATGAATAATAGAGTGATTCTATATAACCTATACCACTTCAATATATTATATATATTATAAATTGTTTATTTTTTAAAATATAGATTGAACTAGTTTTATTAATTAATCTAAAATTGGACTAATTCTAATTTATTTTTAGATTAAAAAGTATACTTTTTATTCATTTAATTTATAGTTATAGATATCACTTTATATTATTAATATTTAATATAATCATTGAAACTAAATGGTAATTTTGATGATATTCAAATGTTTTCTCTAACAGAATGCAGATATATTTATATGTATAATGTTTAATAGATCATATTATTTATGGATTTAACTTTGAGTTTGGCCAGTGTTACATAAGTTAAATAATAACGAGTGATACGGAAAGTTGTAGAGTATGGTCGACCGAATGAATATAGTATATCACGTGAAATGTATTTTTGTTATACTAACCTACTTACAAATATTAACATTAACTCCTAGCAATTAAGTATAAAAGGTCATACTCAACATCAATTATATACCATACAATACTCAATTTGATCGGCCATACTCTACAACTTTCCGTCTTACCTATAATAACCTGCCTCCGATGCAACAATTGTAAATGATTATCGTCATCACGTGATATATGAATTAAAACATAACGATAAATGATGATGTAGAGCCGAACTTTCGGTAAAGTTGCAGGCAATTCTACATTATCGTTTAAGGGAATAAAAATAAGTTTCCATTAATCAATTGTTAAGATTTTCTATATAATGAATCATCTAATCGAATAATTATAATAAAATTCGATTAATTCTTGATATTTTTACTAGATCTTTCAATTATTATTAATATAATGGTTGAGAAAATCTAATGACTAAGTCGCGAAGATCAGACAGGATTACTTTATTCCGACATGATCTACAATATATATTATCACCATAATATTTAAATCCATCAAATAATGTCAAGAGCGTCCTCCTTTGTTGTATCAGATAAAGTATAATTCATTATGCAAGCCCGCAAACTAAGATCTTAGATTTACATTAACCTGTTTCACGAGTATAACCAAAATAGTAAGGGCAAACAAACAATGAGCAATTAATTGACGATAAATGTCTTACTAAATTTGATAAACAATTGCACTTAGTTAGTTTGTTTTATTCCACGTGGCTACACTCTAATTTAATTCTCCGATGAACTAAATCTGATAAAAATAACGTACATACATATATATTTATTTTGTTTGATGATTTTTTTAACAACATTAATGAATCGTGATTCCAAAAATAACACAATCAAAAAAAGGTCGGTTATATATGTTATTATTATACCAAGAATATTAAAATATTTCGACTGAATGCATAAAATCAAAAAAAAATTCGACTTTTAGATAATATGTAAGCGATTTACAATACCGCAGTATTATTAATCCAATCATTTAATATACAACATATTTTGCAATACAATCGTACATTCAAATAAAAGTAGCACAAAAAGAGTGGGGTTTTTTTTAGCCTTTCCTTAATTATATTAATCCCGTTGAACTCAGCCCATTTTATTTTTTTGCGTGAATGGTATCCAGACCATAATAGGAAAATCTGAAATTATTCTAGAATTATATATTTTTTCTTTTCTGAAATGAGAGATTTTTTTTTTTTTTACAAACGAAAAAAAAAAGAAAATATATAAAAAAGTTGTACAAAATGAGGTTAGCGAATTCTTTTAATGGAGATAGATATGTGGGAGGTTATTTAGGAAAAAGGGTTCTAAGACTATGTTTTTTTAGTCTCAGAATCCCTTTTTCCTAGCAAACCTCCAATATATACAATACAGTATATCACATATTATATTTGATTAAAAAATGCTTTGAAGCATATAATCTTGTTTTCATTTATAACAAATAAGTGGATTATTAACCAACTTTTTTTTTCTAGTGGATTAGATGCCTATGATTTTATAAATCATTGATATGTGCCTCGGAATATTTAAATTTAGAAAAAAAAAAAAAAGGAAAAAAAATCTTCAGTTTTTTTTTCTTTACTAAAACGTTTTAAAATTATGCTTTTGACTCTTTTGACTGTACAAAATATCCCCCGGTCATAAAAAAGCTTGAAATTTGATTCGTTAAAAATCCGACAATCCGTTAAAATTTCCGAACATCCGACAACTGAGACTAAAATATTTAAATTCCTGCATTTATCGCAAAACCAAAAAGTGTCCAAACAAGTATCGAAAAAATTTTTTTTTTTTTTTATAAAATCTTATTGTGATATTCAACAAATAATTACAGGCCAACAATAAAGCAATACATGGCTACTCTACGAAAACGAAGACCTAGCAGAAAAGTCACAAATACTGATTTTGAGTATGAATTAGGTTCGTCGAGCGAACAAGAGATCAACGCAAGCTCACAAAATACTGTCGTGAGCGAACAAAATGATAGCGACTCAAGTTATCGTGAAGAAAGGCCAGCGCCACCAGCGCCTACACCAACACCACCAGCGCCTACACCAGCACCACCACCAGCACCAGACAACAAAGGTGAAGGACAGGAATTTTTTTCAGAAATACAGCGGGAGCAATATATAAAGTTAAGGGAAGAGATATTATTCAATCAAGAGTCGGAAAGTGAAAAGTTTATACGAAAATGGGTAAATATGTTTTTTATTTTTTTTTTTTTTAAAAAAAAAACCATCAATGTTATTTTAAACAAATTAATTTTTCCGGGAGAAAAAAGAGAAAAAATCAATCAGTTATTTGGCTTCGAAATATTATTTTCCGTTATAATTATAATTACAATTATCGTTTAAAAAAATTATTTAAAATATCTGATTATTTCTTATATTCTTATAATCGTTTTTTTTTTTATTTATAACAGAAAACTACCGACCCGGGACTTTGTTGCGTTTGTCTAGATGAAGATGCAACAAAAGACAATGTCCTTGTTTACTGTGATGGCTCTGAATGTGATGTCGTCGTTCATCAAGGTACGAATTATATGTGGCGCAGTTTTATTTTATGATTTACACTTTTTGTTTCAAAGCTTTAATTATATTTTTTTTATATTAACCATCACATAATCTTTTAGAATGCTATGGAATTACGCTACTCCCAGAGAAGGAAGATCCATGGTATTGTGATCGTTGTATTGCGTTGTCTTCGGAGATAGTGGTAAGTGTTCGTATTAAGAAATTTATTATTTATGTTAATGTTTATTCTGTTGTTATTTATGAATTAACGTTTATTCCTACTTAACAGAGCTGCGTTTTGTGTCCCAATAAAAATGGAGCTTTTCGAAAAATAAAGACTACTTATGAGGCCAAAGAACCATCTGTTTGGGTTCACATATTATGCGCCTTTTGGATGCCGGGCATGCATATTGGCACGGCTGCCAACTTGAGAGACATTCAAGTTGTGAATGTCGATCCAAAGAACTGGGGTAAAGTAAGTACTTTTTAAAAAATCTGTTGGTTTTAACTATATATTAATAAGGATTTACTATACTGTATCATTTAATTTCAGAAATGCCACGTCTGCAACAGTGAAGAAGGAGCGGCAATACATTGTGATGCTGGACAGTGTAAGAATTGGGTTCACGCAACCTGTGCTGTGGCCTTTGGGCTTACCGAATACGTAGACGAGGAGGACATCTCGGACCCGTATTTTATCGTACGTAATTTTATTTTTATTTTTATTTGCAGCATAAATTGTTATCTCGTGATTCGTCACATGTATCTTCTTTACGCGATCCTCTATGATGCGTCATTCGTCGTTTTTATGTGCTAACGAAATCTTATTCTCTTTTATTTTTTCCCTTTTTTTAAAAAAAAAAAGTACTGCAAACATCATGGGCCAAATGATCATCCTCGACAAAACAAAATCGAAAAATGGATACGAAAGCGGGACGAATTCCTTGCTGACGAATACTCCAAACTCTCGGAAGACCGTATTACTAAATTTCAGGACAGAGCGCCCGGTGAAAATATTCGAGAAATTTTCCAAGACACGTATGCTGAGTACACCTCACAACGAGAGTTACTAATTACGGACTTTCGACGACGAATCGTGCAGCAATCATCAAAACATAATTCCCTTATTGACGCTAAGGAAAAGGCAGTGAAAAACGTTAAAGATTTTCGGGCAAAAATCCCTATAGTGAAGAACGAACATAAAGCATTAAAAAGTTATTTTGATAAAGCAAGTGAGGCCGTCATATCTTTGATCCCACAAATGCGGGACATTAAGTTCGAGACTAATGACGAAGCAATGAAACTCGAAACCTTAATGGAATCGATTACGACAACGAAAAATATTCGTTGGACTAAAGAAGCAAAAAGGAACGCAAAAAACATCAAAATAAATCAGCTCAGCACAGGCGAGGTTAAATCCTTAAACATCAAAAGTATTATTATGGCATTGGCCAGAGCGGCCAAAGAAGAAAAAGAAAAGGCCCGTCAAAAAGGGCGACGAAGTGGATTCAAGGGTAGGGGCAGGCCCAAGGCACCAAATAAAGTAAAAGAAAAAGAAAAGGCCGTAGGTCAAGAAGAAACTCCGGAAGGAGATGAAGGTGAAGAACAACCATCAACAAAGAGAACAACAAGATCTCGGGTCGCAAGTGTTAAAGGAAAGTCAAAGCAAATCGAAGATGAAGGGAACACACAAAAAGGTAATGTACCGGCGGACAATATCAACGCGCCAAAATCACCAAAAGTTCGGTCAGATGCAAAGAGAGGACCAAAAAGAAAGCGTGAAGAAGAAGCAACTTCTGAAGATCTTACTCAAAAACAGTCAACAGATATTAATACAGAAGATCAGACTGAGTTATCAAAGAAAAAGCGAGTCCAAAATCTTTCTACGAATGCTCAATCTACCGATATGATTGAAGGTCAAGTAAATACTGAGACATCAACCGTTTCATCAAAGAAGAATACCAGAAAAGGTAAAAGGAAACGATCTTCAGATGTTCCATCTGACAATGCCGTCGAAGGAACCTCTAGTAATAATGACAATAAAAACGATCAAGCGTTGGCATCAGTTAAATCTGACGAAGTTATAGAATCCATTCCAGTAAAGAGACAATATAAGAGAACGAGAAAACCTGCCAATAAAAAAAAGAGCGGACAAACATCAAAAAAGGGTACTTCCAATGATCAAGAAGTTTCATCTTCCGCCCAAGATGAACAAACATCAGAAACAGTTCAATCAGTTCAAGATAGTCCGTCCACAACATCCAATGAAAACATGAACACGTGCGTTCCTAACGAGCCGGTCTTGGTAACTAGAGTTGAACCAAAGATGGTCTTCAAAAGACGACGACGACGTAAAGTAGCTCCGGCTAGTCCTAAGCCAAAACCAAAACTTCGTCCTATTGCACCAAAGGAAGGTTTCCCTGTTGTTCTCAATATCAAACAAAAGTGCTCCGAAAGTGAAGATATGGAATATACAACTAATGAAGTTATAGAAAGTACTCCAAACCCCTGTGAAAATTTTAACATTAGTACTATAACACCTGAATACATTACCCAACAAGAAAGTATCAGTATAATCAATGAAGAAGTCTCCTTTAACAAAAGAAGCGGTGGACTTCTTGGTATTAGCAATTTACTAAATCCTGTGGAAGACTCTCCTTCAAGCACTTCAACTATCTATGAAACTTCTGCTCAAACTTATCTTTATGAGGCAGCCAATGCGAGTGTCACTAACCAAAGTTATTTCGGTAGTAATGAACGATTGTATCAGAAACCTGCTCCCAGTACTAACATTGCAATAACTCAAAGCATTGGATATGGCAGTATTACTGATAACAGTGTGAATACAACTTCTCTCCAGCAGAACTATTTTATGGCAGAATCAAGCTCCAAACAAATGGCATTTGGAGTTCCATTGACGACACACGCAAGCGTTAGTGAAAGTAGATCAAATACATTTACAAATTCATTTGCTAACCAAGAACTTAATATACCTTATTCGAATCCTTTTATTGCCACTGCCACAAATTATACGCCCTTTCATTCAACAACTCAAATGGACACAAGAACTTTTACAAGTTCATATGTACCAATGAACCAAAATGATTCAATTACGACGTTTACAAGTCCCTATGAAGGCACCGGCGCATTCAATAATGTAACAAGCAATGTTCAAGCTCCAGCCGTGAACACTTCTAATATCAATGGATTAGATGCACTTGTCACAGCGGCTGAATTTGTTGAAAGAATTCCTGGATCTTCTGAACTTTCTCCATTTGTACCAGAAGATGTTGACGAAATCCAGGATAAAGCAACAACAGAAACTTCACAGGATCAATCTCAAATTCACGATGCACACGAGGACGTTTATAATGAATCTTGTTCTAGTGTACAAGTTAATTCCCATTCAACTGTTTCACCATCTTCAGAAAAAGAAGTTGTTAACCATTACCAATCGGAAAGCGCAGATTTCTTAAATTTTGCTGATCCAAATACACGCGCCAGTGATATGACGAGTGCTAGAACAAGTACGAGCACAAAGTCAACCACAAGCATAAGCACGAAGAATACTGTTCAAGTTGACAACGAAACACCTAGATCTTCAGAAGATCATGATGCTCAAAATGTCGAAACTATTGTTCCATCAAAAGGTGAAGATTCAAAGGAAGAACCAACTACATTAACACAAGATACACTGGAAGTGGCAGGTACTCCAGATACGGTAGATACTGCAGACACTGCAAATAATGAAGAACAGCTAATGCCTGCACAAAACACAAAATTGAGAAGGAAACGAGTGCCAGCTATTGGTGGAACAAGGAAGAAAGCTGGACGAAAACCAAAAGCCAAGTCTGTAGAGGAAGAAGTTATACAGCCTCGGACGCCTCCTATACCACAACCAGATTGTACAGTGTGCCAACTCTCAAGTCCGCCGGAAAACGATCAACCTTCAGCAACCTATATCAAACCAAATCGTGCAAGAGAATCAATGTTACATAAAGGAAGAGATAAAGTCAACCGAATGGTTCGTTGTGGATACTGTAGCAAATGGTACCATTTAGCCTGCATGGTCCCTCCTAGGCGTACAATGCCCACGGGTGGGTATGTTTGGCGATGTGCAGAGTGCGACCATCCATCTAGTGTCAATTCCACGAGTGTTGAACCTTCTGGTCATTCGGCCTCTGCAAGTTCCACCAAAAAGTGGAACTTAAGATCTGCGACCAAATAAATTAGAGAAACAACAAGTAATCGAAAATGATAAATACAATAATATATATTGAAAGGCAACTTTTTTATAATAAAGTATATGAATTAGTCATTCATTATTGAAACAATTGCGTATTCTTAAATAAATCATAAATTTACCAAATCTAAGTAAGTATTAAGCAATTTCATTATCATTAATTCCTTCGATATTTTTTTTTTATGTATGACTTATAAGGATTAATTTTATTAAGATTTGAAATCATAAGAAAAAAAAATAAAATAAAGAGAAAATTTTTCAATTCATCGAGAGCTAATGTATTGTATACGTTTAATGTTGTTATTCGATCACTTTCTGATCATATATATATAAGATGATTACAGATGACTAAGGATAAAATTTAGCATAGTTGTGAATTTTTTATATTGTAGAAATTTTTGAATGCTTGAATTGGACTTTCTTTGATTACAATTTTTTATAATACATACCGTATTCTTCCGATTATAAGTACCACCCAACTTTTGAAAAAAAACTTGAAAAACAAAAATAATAATTACATCAAATAATTTATTACATTTCTTATTTTACTTTAAAAATCATTTTTATTCTAATTATTCATCCAATTTATTTAATTTATTATTTAAATCATTATTTATATTTATATTTATAATTTTCCTTTTATTTTCATCAGTTTTCTTTTTTTAAATAAATCATCTTTTGACCCATCTATTACATTACTAAGATAAGATTACACTTTTTAAATGATTTTACAATCATTTTTTTTAGAATTTCTACCTGTATTTATTACAAATAATAGTATACTTAGGCTTTCTTAAGTTTTTATTTTTTTATTTTAAATAAATTAATTTAAATTCATCCAAATATTTTATTTATCACAAAGTCTTTTCTTAAAATAATTTACTAAAACAAATATCATAACATAAGTAAGATCATCAGAAATTGCTAAATCAGTATTATTATTAAGTTTATAATAAGATTTTCTTTAAAATTTTTTTTTTAAATTTATTTATTCATTTTTTTATGGTTGAATAAATTACTTTAATAATATATTGATACTTTACAATAAAAAAGGGTAAAAACTACTAAAAATGAGTTTGCTAGATTCAGGTAAATTTCAGTATTAACAATGTTTTTCAATTATTAATGAAGATCAATTACATCAGTGTATAATCTAAGTTAAAATTTATATGCACAAATTGATTAATTATTACTAAAATAAGAAAATCATAATATTTTTTCTTATGTAAAATTACCTTTTTTATACATAATTTATCTATTTTTAGTAATAATTTATGTACATTTTATGTTATGTAATATATGCATACAAAAAATTAATGTGCATATGTAGGATCCCAGAAAAGTCTTAACATTAAAAATTTTTTAAAAATAAGCAATTCAATTATCTGATCATAATGTATATTTATTTATTATATTTAAAAACACATTTTATTTAATTAGTAATTCTTTCAATAATATCTTTTCTTCCGAAGTATTTAAAATATTTTTTTGATTTTCTATTACCGTATAGCGCTGACATTAGTACCAGGTACTATTCAAGCAAATCTAAGCTTAATTTTGAATAGTACTTGAGGGTACTACATTCGGAGAAAGATACTACATAAGGGGGATATTACACAACGGGAATACAATAAAAGGGGGATATTAATCATAATTGTCGATCATCTTTTTTTACTTTCAAATTTTTAACATTCCTTTGAA